ATGACATTTTACCATATCAAATGTTGTGATATCTGCTCCTGCTTCATTGAGTTCTTTTTCCAATCTGTCAACCACATTTTCGTTTGGGTCACCAGATGCAAAATCGAACATTGCTTGCACATTGAAATTGAGTCAATCCAATCAAAATATAGTAACTGAAGTTCTCTGGATTATTTTACAAATTTACAAGAAAAAACTATACATACATATACTTGGGTTGTCGCTATGAAGGCGCGCTTTGTAGTCTTATTTGATTTTTCTCTGTCATTCAAAATCTTTGCAAATGCATCAATGATGGAGTTGTCTATATTTTCTTCTTGAAGGGTCTGAAACTCCTCATGAGTGATAAAAATACCTCCCATCTTGATAGACACAGTCACTAACACAATAATATTTTTCAAACAAATTGAAACAGTTAATTATGAAGTAATGTTTCTATTGAAATAATACATTATATAATATCGGACTTTCTTACTTTTCAACTTCTTTTGACATGTCATAGTCAAGAACAATCTTTTCATCCCTGCTCATTTCCTTGCACAACCTTCTGTTGTTCTTGAGAAATGGTGATCTGTAATTCACACCTACATCACATAAATTTCTAAGCTTCCCCTTTCTTATGTATGGCTTTAGCTCAGCATTCCTTTGGAAAAAACAACAAAATGTTAACTTCATTAAGTTAATTAAACACATTAATGAATTACATAATAAATAATTAACACTTACTCTTGTTTATTTTCAACTTCTTTGTTTAATTCTCCACCTGCAGGAGTTTTGTCCTCTCTAGCTACCCCAACCTCTTCATTCTCTTCTCCAGTAGCAGCACTTTGGTTTACTAGATCAGCACCAGTTTTAATTACCACATCTTCTACATCAGGAGCAGTTTCAGTCATCACATGTTCTACATCAGCAACATTTTCAGTCATCACAGCTTCCACATCAGCAGCAGTTTCAGTCATCATAGCATTTTGGTCCACTTTTGAAGTGCTTGCACCCTGAGTCATGTTAAACTCAATGCCTAAATCAGATGAAGGCATTGCAAATTTGAGAAATACTGCTTTCTCCAGTTTCTCAAGCGCTTCCATAACTCCGGGCTCATTAAAAAAATCATCATCTTCTTCAAGTACACACTTCTCTGATAATCTTTCTTTTTGAGCCATGTTCTGATCTCCATTTGCTTGATTAATGAAGTAATCAGCAGTTGTCAAATATATCTTCCTCAATATATCAGAATTTGGGAACTTCTTAGAAATGGTTGATCGTAGCTTGGAAAACTCAACAAATGCATCACTGAATTTTTGGGTGACTGCCACAATTTCCTTCACACACTTCTATAAAAGTTAAAAATAAACTAGAAATTGTCATATCACATACATTGTAATACAGTGGAATCATCATTCAGAACTTTACATTCCACAACACCTTAGTTTACATTTTGATAGGAAGACTTACATGTCATAGTAAAACAGTTAACATCATTTGACTTAGACAACTACAGTTTACATATTATACTAATAGAAGTTACATTTTAAACAACATGTGTTACATATTCTTGAGCACAATTTACATCATGTAAAATTCAGAAATCTAAACTGTAATACTTGAGATTTTATTTAAACGGATTAATAGTACTACTCATACCAACAAGATGCATCTCCTTTTAAGGGAGCTCATTAACCAAGAACTCCAAAGTTAAGCGTGCTTGCACGGGGTAGTCTTGGGATGGGTGACCCCCTGGGAAGTTTCTCAGGGTGCGCACGAGTGAGGACAAAGTGCGCGGAAAAGGCTAGTGGCGGTTTGTGAGGACAGTACTAGAGGTCAGAAGTAACTACCTCGGGGCCTACGGGGCCGGGGTGTTACAAATGGTATCAGAGCAACCCTGTGACAGTGTGCTGATCCATTGAATATCGGGCGGGCACTTAGCAGGGGAAAAGATTCTGGGATATGATTGAGATTGGTTTATGGGCGCAACGAGGACGTTGCGTTCCTAAGTGGGGGTGATTGTAATACTTGAGATTTAATTTAAACGGATTAATAGTACTACTCATACCAACAAGATGCATCTCCTTTTAAGGGAGCTCATTAACCAAGAACTCCAAAGTTAAGCGTGCTTGCACGGGGGTAGTCTTGAGATGGGTGACCCCCTGGGAAGTTTCTCAGGGTGCGCACGAGTGAGGACAAAGTGCGCGGAAAAGGCTAGTGGCGGTTTGTGAGGACAGTACTAGTGGTCCGAAGAGAGGTCAAAAGTAACTACCTCGGGTCATGCGGGGCCGGGGTGTTACATAAACTCTTCAAGTACTTGATGTAAATGATTAATAAAACTTACTTCCTTTGTCAACAGCTCATCTCCTTTATGTTCAGTTTCTTCTTCTACAAGCATGATTCTGAGCTTCACCTTGCCAAGTCCAAATCCCAACTTCCTCTCATCTTTCACTCTTTTATCAATTCTATCTTTGGTCCAGAATTTCATTGTACGAAAAACATTGTCCAAAACATGTCATTTGAATTGCACCCTATCAAAGTAACAAATCTTTAGAAACAATAAAGGTCGAGTAAACATTCTTGATGGATAGGCCTGCCATTCTTCTCCAGCATCCATGAGTGACTATCTTGTGTATTTACACCAGTTCAGATTTTTGATTTCACCAACATTTACTAAAGAAAGCAAGATCTTGAAGTTGCTCTTCACACTCTGGTTGCCTCTTATCAAACAAGAGACTGTGAAGACAACAAAATTCCTGATGAACTTATCTCCATCATCATCCTGAAGGATTTTTTCTATCATTGATGTTGTTTGTGGGCTGCCTTTCTCAATGCCCCACTCTACTCTCCATTCTTTCAGCAGCTCAGTGTAGTCTTCTGTTTCATTCTTTCCATTTTCTTCGACAACATCTTTCTCTCCTTTGGGCAAGCCAAACAGAGCTTTAACATCATCTTCTTCAATATCTAAGAACTCTCCACTTGTAAGCTTGAGTTGTGCAAATATTGGTCTCAGGTTTTCCAGTAGAAACTGAACAAAGTCTCCATGGAACTTATCAAAGCTCAGGTGTAGCAAAGACCCAAATCCTATTTTCTGAACAATTCTCTTCTGTTTTTCACTTAATCCTTTGATTAGCCTTACAAATGGAGCAGATCCAACTCTAGTCCTCAAATTTATTGAAGCACCAACAGCAGCAACAGACATGTTCTCCATTATTTCCCTTCCAGGCTCTTCTTCTATTTCTAGTATAGCATGAGTCTTCCTTTTTCGCGTATTGCATGCACTTGTTGTTGGATTTTCTTCTATTATCATTTGTATAGGTGGTGGTTGTTCTTTTGGTGGAATATTATCATCAGAGTTACCCCTGTCAGTAATTAATTTGTATATGATGCATATCAGTAATTACATTATTCTTACATAGCATTTTGTAGAACAATTATACTTACATATTGACATTCATACTCTACTTAATTCATAGCAGTATTTACATCATTTAAGCACAGAAATTGAGCATTTTGTTTCACAATTCCAGTAGTTATATAAGTTTTAAGCATTGAAACTCAGGAATTCCAACAAAAATTGCAGTTACATCTTAACATACACAATTTGCATAATTCATAGCAGTAGTTACATCAGTAATTACATCATTCTTACAGAGGATTTTGTACAACAATTGTTAGTACATATTAATATGCAAATTTTATTTAATTCATAGCAGTATTTACATCATTTAAATACAGTATTTACATAATATGTAGTTGCACTTACATCAGTTTTGAACACACAAATTGAGCATCTTGTTGAAATAAACCAGTTATATCTTAACATACACAGTTTACTTGATTCATACCAATACTTACATATGTTTTCATTGCAGTATTTATATCATTTAAGCACAGAAATTGAGCATTTTGTTTCACAATTCCAGTAGTTATATAAGTTTTAAGCATTGAAACTCATGAATTCCAACAAAAAATGCAGTTACATCTTAACATACATAATTTACATAATTCATAGCAGTAGTTACATCAGTAATTACATCATTCTTACAGAGCATTTTGTACACAAATTCAGCATCTTGTTGAAATAAACCAGTTATATCTTAACATACATAGTTTACTTGATTCATACCAGTACTTACATACGTTTTAACGATTTTTAACAATAATTACAGTACGTTGAAACTCAAAATTTGCAACAACAATTGAAGTTAGATCTTAACATACACACTTTGCATGTTCAAATTGACATCTCAATAAGACATAAATCACATTATTCAATACTCAATTTCTTTCGTTTGTGAGTTTGGCTTGGAATCTATTAGATTACATGCATGTTGAAATTTACAACAGGATATCACATAAAACAAATTGTTAGATGCTCCTATATACATTTCGAACTTGATAAAGTAAAGTACATTCTATACCTCTCAAGTGATTTGCGTCTAGTCCTAGTCATTGTGTCGATCTGCAGAACCTTGTTCTTTGTTTGGATTCCTTACTTTTCCGTCGGACGGAATGCTTTCTTTTCCTCTCGCAAGTGGATGTACTTCAGCAATGAAGTTTTGTTGAGATTTTGTCTGATGAAACTTCGAAGAGAGAAATGGTGGAGAAAGTTTCTCGCAAATGTTTTTTCTGAATTTGAAAAGACACGATTGAAGAATATGGGGGGAAGTGAAGCGAATAACTGCTCGAGAAAGAAAAAACGCGCCGCTAAGAGAAAGTCGTTTACTGATTTGCGCATTTTTCGATTAAATAATGTCAACAGTGTCATTCTGGGGGCAGGTGCAGGATACTCATGGTGGGCCGGTACCACCATATACGAACTGATTTTTTATAAACTATACTAATGTGGCTCTAAACATTTTAACGCTTAGTTAGACTGATAGAATATGTAGTACATTTTTGAGTTTTTAATAAGTGTACTCATTCAAACATTTAGTCTTGGACAAAAAGAGAAACTCATTCCTATATGCACGGAGTATTAAGTACAAACTGAAATATAAAGCCTTATAGTATACCCACAACTCTATGAGTTTGATCTTTTAAGATTTAAGACGAAACATGAAGTTGATCATCCCAAACTGCCCTATATACAAATAAAAACCATTTCATTGTTTATTATATAAAAATTAAAGGTCGTTTATGTATTACAACATCGCGTTGAAGCATGTACAATTAAGCCAACTTCTTAATCAATTGTGTCTCTTAGCTTTCACATGTCCTCTTGGAATCTTACTCAAAACATTTGCATGTAACCAAGTGTAGTGTTTAATGACCTCCATCTTTCCTTTCTCTGCAAATGCATCCACTTGCTCTTCGTATTTCTCGTAAACCACCGGCACCGTGAGGACTATAATAACACCTGCATTTTCGTTGTATATATACAAATACTAATTAGGGGCGGATCCAGGAGTATGAGTCGGACTGAGTTGAATGGTAATTATATATATTAGGTATAAATATGAGGTGTAAACATTACTTACTTATGTATATTAGAGTTAGGAAATCGCAGCTGCCGCCCAAAATTGCTAATATCCATAGCCCACAAATGACCTAATAATTAGTAAGAAACAATGTTGGGTAAGATAGTACGTCCGTACAAAACACAAATAATCTCCTACCTAAGAGAAATTAAATTACTAAGAGCATGACTGAAACATGTAGTAATAAGGGGTGAAGATAAGGGCCACGTTAGGCCCAAGCCCATCTCAAATTTAAACATTTTTTAGTTATTAGTGTAACAAATGTTTTGTAAAAAATTATTCAAAAAAAAAACTTTGAATCGGCCTAGCCCATCCCAATACATTGGCTACTTCGGTGGAAGTAGTCTCTAAAGTGTGACTAGCTAATTAACACCACTTTTATTCCTAAATTAATATTTCTTATTTAGGATGTTTTTACTTGGACGGTAATTCATCCCAGACCAGATCAGACCAGATCAGACCAGACCAGTTCAGATCAGACCAGACCAGACTTGGATAGTTATAAAAATACAAAGAAACCAGATCAGACCAGACCAGACCAGTTCAGACCACACCAGATCAGACCAGACCAGACCAGCAAATTACAGTCCAAGTAAAAACATCCTTACTACCTAATATTTTGAATGTATGATACATGTTCTGATGCTACTTTTCCCCCTCCAATTTGATTATAATTCTTATTGAGGCACTTTCAAATTAAATTTATTAGGCGTATACTAAAAATCTATGAATGTTTAAGTCAAATATAGATATATTAAATTAACTTCCCATTTGCTAGTTTAATCATATGTTTTATTTAGAAATTGCTTAAAATAGGAGTAAAACATATTGAAAACTAAAATATGGTTCAGTGTGTTTTCTTTACAAAGTAAGATTTTTTTCCATTAAAAGAACAAAATAATAAAAACTTCATTGAAGAGGAATGAAAATTTTCTTATAATTTACTACTCCATATTAATTAGGGATTTTTATCACATCATATATATGTACAGACACACACACAACGTGTATGTGTGTGTGCATTGTTATATACCTTGAGAAACATAGTCAAATCCCCTCCCAGTGAAATGTCGTGTAGAAGTAGGAAGCACTTATTGAAAGCAATGCTAATATGAGATGCAATTCGCAACACTGTCTTCTCCGAGATTTGAACTTCTGGAATTGGTGGTGTGGATCTGATGGGAACATATAAAAGTTAAGGATGATATATACTCCTCCCGTCCTCCTATTATTGGACGGAAGGAAGTGGTCTAATTTTTAGGAAAAGTGAAATTATGTAGTTGATAATGAGTTGATAAAGTAAGAATAAAGTAAGAATAATGAATTAGAGTCACACAAATCTTACCAAATATGATATAAGACAATAATAGGAGGACATCCAAAAATCGAAGAGTGGGACAATTCTCAGAGGACGGATGGAGTACTGCATAGAAGTATATATTTAAAGGTGTATGATTTCTTTTCCTAAACTCTTCAAATATATACTTATTTTTTGTATAAATGTGGCGCTTCACATTTAATGTGTATGTTTCATGTGTTTCACGAAGCATGAAGCATGCATGCAATAATAATATAATATAGAGTAATTAAAAGGGATGACACCTCACTAATATAATATGAGGACTCACAAAATTGACTGCACAGTTATGTGGGAAGATGCAATAATATACTACACTAGTAATTAAATACTTCCACCGTTCCATAAAAGTTGCAACATTGAAATTTTTGCACTATTCACACACCTTACTTTGACTACGATTTTCTAATAATATACTACCTCCGTTCCGCTATGATTGTCCCATTTTACTTTATCGGTCCGTCCCACTAAAATTGTCTCATATCAAATTTGGTAAAATTTGTACGGCTCTAAATCATTCTTACTTCATTCCTACTTTATCAATTCAATATCAATCACATAAACCACTTTTTATTGATTTGCATGTCACCCCCTTTTGTTCCATTGTTAACGAGACGGAGGGAGTATATAATAAAAATATTACGTATAAAATATTACTAGTAATAAATTTGTATTAATGTAAATTTTCAATATATTAACTTTTTTAATGTTTACTAATACGTAAATAAATATAATTACAATCAAAGTTGCGCGTTGACAAATGTAAAAATCAAACTGTTGTAACTTTTATGGAACGGATAATAATACATTAGAGATAATGACATACATGATGCATTGTATAAAAAATGCTTACATGTTGAGTAGAGCAGTACTAGCATTTGACCACGAAAAATAGATGGCGAGAGTGAGGATTACAACATGGGAAGCGAGCTCCAGCACACGGAATTCAAATCGTTGAAGCAGAAGCCAGGTCAGGGTGGCCCCACCCAGGATCCGAGCACTCGTCCTTTTATTTCTCCATAGCACCGCATCTCCTACTGCATTACATTCATCTTAATTATACTACATTCGTTCTCTTTCAAGTACAACATATTCACATATTCTGCATTGATTATAGGGAGTATTTTATTTATTGATATATTATAAATTAAATTTTTAAAAAATATTTTTAAATACCTCTCATTTTAAATTTTCAAAATCTGAATTTTTTTAATTTTGTATCAATAAGGAATGAAAGATATTAATGATCAAACTTGTGTATTGATAAACGTGAAGAGTTGACTGTTGTAATTAAAAAAGAACGGAAGAAGTATACTACTTCGTATAAGAGTATTTGAGTTTTTTTTTGAACTTTTTCTTAAGGGGGAACTTTTATTGAATTAAAGGGGAAATACGATGCCAGAAAAAAGGAAAAACGGTACAGAAATGAAAAGTACGTAAAATCTAGATCCATGGAAAGTTATGGACTACGATCTAGTTCTCATGCTATGATGTTATTTACCCTTTTGAGCTTTCATTTATATTTTGAGGTGTGTATTCAAATTCTCAGTTGACATGTTGGTGTCCATTATTTGTATTTAAGTAGTACTCCATTTGAATTACAAGCACAATTATTGTTACTATCACGGTCAAATATCACATATAGCATAATATTACTCCGTATATCCTTATTCCTCTTCGGTTTACTACTTTTATTTATACTCACAAAATAATTACGTTCATGAAAGAAGGAAAATCCAGGGTAAGTCAGAGTTTAATTTTAAGTTTAAAACATACCAAGTGTAATTAATCTAAAAAGGATGTCCATTAAAAAAAGTTACCCGTATTAAAAAAAGTTTATTCCATGTATCATTTTCATTTCTGACGGATTAAGCTAAAAAAATTAAAGCTACGTACAGAAATTAAAGAATGATTGATAAACACTACAAACATTATGTCAAAAACAAATATTCATAAAATAAGTTTCATTCCACTATTCCCTTGATCAACTTAAATCATTTTAATCTTTCAGTTTATATATCAAACTAGCTAGAGAAAATTCCCCAAATATGAGTAAAAAAGTTTTGAAATTCCAAAATAGAAGTATCATGTTTTTTTCCTTGAATAGGAGTAAATTTCTGCCAAGTTTGGCATTACTAGGCTTTAAACATGTCATTTTTTTCAAACTTGGCACATTACTCCTATTCAGGAAATAAAAAACATGATACTCCTATTTTGGAATTTAAAAAGGTTTTTGCTCTTATTTAGAGCAATTCCTAATCAAACTAATATCAAATATGTAATATGTAAATTGTATTTACTGAATATAATCTAAGTGTTGACTGGAATCAGTTAACTTTGTCGTTAGTCAAACATCGTAAATCGCAACTGAATTAGGGACAGATGGAGTGTTGTGCTACGTATATATTTGATACTCTCTCCGAAACTTTCAAATTTCCTTTTTGGGCGTCCCAACGTAAACTTTCATTTTTCCTTTTTGATAAAAATTTGTGGTACTGTACGTTCAAAACAACAATACCTATTACATTAACATTCATGTCAAATGTACTTTGGAAGTTAATTCAGCGTTGGGAGGAGTATAAAAAACTGTTACAAGAGAGTTTAATTCACGGAATTTGACGGGAAAATGAGAAAAAGTAACGTGTTGGATGAAAAAAAAACTTGATTTAATGTGTGAAAGAGCTCACATTTTCCTCCACCAAGAACCTTGTGAATAGATTGCTGACGCCCAAAGAGGTGACGACTCTTAGACTCAAGTTTCCGGTCGCCGTCAGCCATGGCCTGATTCTGTTCCTTCAAATTCCAAGTTTTCAACAACTAACAGATACGAAAATGATATGAACCAGCAGTGTTCGTTAAGATAGAAAACTCAGTATTATCTCCTTTTATAGTGCCAATATTTTTAAAATCGGTATTCCTTGTCTTGATGCTTACAAAACAGAGTAACAAAGTAAGGCATTTGAAGAATATTAAACTATTTTCAATAGAGTACTAATTAAGTATACCATTTTTCAAGAGATATACAATAAATATCCCCATGAGGTGCCTTCAAATGTAATCTTCCACGACATTCTTACATTTATTGGGAACAAAATGTAAAAACGGACTTTGTCACTACAAAAAACATATGGGATTGACAGGGATTTTGGCAGAGATTTGACAGGGATTTTGTCAGCGATATGTCAAATATGTGCCAAAAAAGCTATGACACGAGCTATTTAGCACGAAAAATCGGTAAATCCCTGCCAAATTCTGTGTCAATCCCGTAATATTTTTGTAGTGTGTTTATCATGGTATATATAGGTTTTTATTATAAACTTTAATATAATTTGTTTTTAATGTGATCGACTAAATTAAATCACAACAAATAACTAATACTAGTATAAGTTTTATCTCTAATTTAATTTGTGGTCTGGACGATTCATAACAACGTGTATTACGTTGAACCTTACTAATTAAAAAACAAATTAAGTTTCATTTTGTTTTTATAATAATTTACAAGTTTGAATAAAAGTCATTGCACATAAAAATTGCAATGAAACTAAAGTGATTATTTGTATGTATTCTTTAATAGTCATTGCTATGCAAAATTTGAATAGTCAAATTATTAAATCACATTTTTGCCAAAATTGAACATATATCTAATATCCTCGACCTATCTTGATCCGGGTCTGGTCCTAGGTTTTTATTTTTTATAATTTTAAATCCTTCCAACCCCCTCCTTATCCTTTTTTAGTTTTTAAATGAATTTATTACTCTTTTAAAATGTTAAGAGAATATGACCCGAAACAGGCTAGGACAAAAAAGGTTTGAAAATTCCAAAATATGACTATCATGTTTTTATTCTCCAAATAGAACTAATTGTTGCCATGTTTTGGCAGTACCAGACTTCAAACATTGCAGTATTTTTTAAACTTGACAATAATTACTCCTATTTTGGGAATAAAAACATGACAGTCCTATTTTGAAATTTTCAAACTGTATTAGTCCTATTTCGGGAACTTTCCCAAATGTTAATGCTTAATACTTGGTCTTTGTAATGCCAAGAAAAGAACATTATCAAGAGAAAACCAGTTGATTCCGGTCCTCAAAATCATTAATCGGGACCGCCGGTCCGGCGCCGGTGTGGGGGCGGGTCCGGCGCCGGTCTTTGACCAGAACCAGAAATAACCGGTGTAGTCCGGTCCCAAGAAACGGCCAATAGCTATCCCAACGGATCCAACACCGTGAACCGAGTCCAAGCCTAAACCTGAGATAAAAGTTCAAAATAATGCAAAAAATTAAAGATAGCTTATTTTTGGGTGAAATGGTTCAATTCTTGAAAATGATCATTTTTGCAAACATTTACTTTTTTTACTAAAAAATTATTTGAATGCAATTGTTTCAAGTTCAACAAATTCAGTCATTTTAAGTCATTTTAAATTGCTTCGGATCGGAATCGATATTTCCATCTCACTAACATTGAAACATGAGGGGTGGTACGGTTCTTGAGAAAAGTGAGTTTATTTGGTTGATAATGAATAGATAAAATATAAATGAATTAAGAATGATTTGGAATCACACAAACTTTACCAAATTTGGTATAAAACAATCTTAGCTGGATGGACTGAAAAAGAAAGGTAGTGTGACAATTTTAGCAGGATGGAAAAAGTGTTAGGCTTATAATCGAGTATATTAATGTAAAACATATACGAGTATTTATTATTGTTATTATACTCAATGTATATAGCATGATTGTTGAGAAACTTTTTTCTAGCTAAGAGCATCACCAATGCTACACTGTATACGGTACATATGTTGCATGAGAGAGATACGCTCAAACGAATACATTTTAACATTTTTCTCTCTTTTCCACAATCGTATGTGTTTTTTTGATAAGTTTTTTTCAACTATATGAACACAGTGCAGCGTCTACATCTAAACATTACACAAAACATATAAGACCATTAAAACAAGAAGAGATATATTCTATTATGTATTTATTAATTTTTATGTTTATATAATTATATCTCTCTCATGTCACGTAACCATCGTCCACGTTGTTATGTTGGGGATGGTCTAATTTTCATGTTCAACCAACGAACAGTTATCAACTCTTGACTAAATGAAACATGTATTAAAATAAACTAATTAAAAATAGGGAAAATTCCCGAAATAGGAGTAAAAAAGTTTGAAAATTCCAAAATAGAATTGCCATTTTTTATTCCCAAAATAGGAGTAATTAATGTCAAGTTTGGAAAATATTGTCATGTTTAAAGTCTGTTGCTGCCAAAACATAGCAGTAATTAGTCCCTATTTTGAGAATAAAAACATGATAGTCCTATTTTGGAATATACACACGTTTTTAGTCCTATTTTAGGTAATTTCTCTTAAAAATATATTTGAAGTACGAGTAACTAAGAGTGACACACCTTATATACATTAATATGTATGCTTAAAGCTTCAACTTATCAACGCTTGTGGCTGTAGTTTAGTGGTAAGAATTCCACGTTGTGGCCGTGGAGACCTGGGCTCGAATCCCAGCAGCCACATTTTCTTTTTCATCTGTATAGGAGTAACATTGAATTGCAGACCACATCTTTTCCCGTTTTTTGCTATGGAGTCAAAATTACCCTGGCGCTCCGTTGAATATTTGAAATTTTGAATACTTTGTAAAATATACTCTCCACCCTTAAAAAAAACGTTCCTGCTTTATCAATCATGACTAAGCAAGCTCTAACAATGTTGATATCAATAATTGTCGTGGAACAAAAATTTAGTGTGACCGTCAATGTCTTAAGGTTCCTTTTGAGATGTTTGTTAGCTTCCACAATTGGTTGAAGGCTCTACGTAGAACTCAAGAACTTAGCATCACCATCCACTTCACTGAGGAAACAACAACCGACGATGCCAGAAACTCCGACCGAATATTACTTATTAGGAAATGTATTTAAGGTTTTAAATTTTTCTCAATTCACAATTGTAATTCATATTTCAAATAAATATACTTTAACCTTTTTTATCTAGCACTTATTCAATTAATTTTCAAACAAAAAAAAAAGAATCTAACCCAGCCCGACCCGAGACCCGAGCGGGTAAACCGGACCAGACCAGTCCCAGTGGAATTCCAAGCCGGTCCCAGGCCTTAGCCACATAAGTTTGGTTCCATCTGGGCCGGTCCTGAACCGGTCACGATTGAAGCCTAGTCCCGGTCCCGTCACCAAGCCGGGTCAGATCCCAGACCGACCAATCCCGGTCTATCCCTATGATACATAGGTAGTATAACCAATCCTATACCAACTGAAAATTCAATTCGTTTGTTTTTCTAAAATTGGGATGCTTGATTGGGTGATGTTCAGGTAGGATTGTAGGAAGGCTTACTTGTCATTTTGAATATATTAAATTAGTACTCTGTAACCGGGCTTTTTTCCCAAGTACTCGGGCCCGGCCCGGGTTCATCACTACTTCCTGATTGAATTTTGAGATGAAATTTGATATGCATAAATTAGACTTGATGAGGAACATGCTCAAAAAAAATCATCAAAAGGGTGGTGTTGTCCACGGGGAGTTCTGGTCAAAACGTCATGACAAAAGGGTGGTCCGGTCACCTCAATTTGAAATTTTTGTGTATGTTCCTTATAAAGTCTAGTTCATCCATACCAAATTTGAAAAAAAAACATTCAATACGAAAGGCCGTCAAATGATTTTTGAAAGACAACTACACCAGATTATACATGTAAAAATCATTTGACTACTTTCCCAATTGAAATTAGTTCTAAAATTTGGTATGGGGTAACTAGATTTGATGAATAACATACACACAAAAATTCAACAAAGCATCCTACCGGGAACTACCTTAAACTAAGGTGACCGAACCACCCTTTTGTCATGACATCCTGACTGGAACCCACGGACAACAACATCAGAGGGTGTTTCCAATGGAATTTTTGATGAAATTGTTTGAGCACATTTCTCATCATGTCTATTTTATGCATACCAAATTTCAACTTAAGATTCAATAGGGATGACAATTTAACAAATTTTTGAAACATATTGCGTTTTATAAATATTGCGTTTTATAAATGTACAAAATGGGCCATAAAAGAAAAGTCACCATTTGAAGCCTCGGCTTTTGTACTATAAGAGAAGAGCCGTCACTTCAAGTGCTGACTTTTCTTAAGCACGGTTAACCCGGCAATATTTTGGGAATTATTTTAAACCCAGCAATATTTTGAGATTTATTTATTTAATTAGCATTATCCCAAAAAAACTCAATAAAATTAGGACTAGACATTAAGATATCCCAAAAAAGAAAGTACCCTTCATCAAAATATCGATGACTGATTAGCCAAAATCAAGACTTGAAAAAAACAAGTGACTGAGGAGGTTCTAGCAAATTAAAACTTTCACGACACATGCAGAGCAACAAAAACTGCAAGACATTATTTTTGGCATTAACGGTATCGTCTGAGGGAAAGAGTCTGGTTCCTCTTCCAGGTGGCTCTTCTTGAAGGTCGTGCCTTGTGATACCTGTGTCCCTTCCCATTGAGACCCCTGTTCTTCTTTCCAGCCGAGGTCAGACCTCGAAGCTCTCTGTGCTTGTGAACGGGATTGCATAGCCAATTGATCCTAGGATCATTACGGATTGCCGCATGGGCTGTGTCGACCAAGATTACCTCAAAGTACTTGTAGGTAGAATCCTGCATCAAGAAATGTCGTTTAGTTAAAGCTCAAATGGAATACTATGAAGGAATGAGAGATGGAATAAATATGCCCCTAAATTTTTGGCAAGAGCGCAAATATGGCTTTCAATTATATTTTGGAAAAAATAAACTCAAATTGTTAAGTTAAAATAACTTTGCAATTATGTTGGGTGGTGATAGTCATA